TTTCTATACATGAGATCTAATTAAATAAAGGACAGCCTTGAGAAGGAAGTCAAAGGAGGGTGACATCTGCTGCTGAGGGAAGGAGAGCTATGAAGAGGAGAGAAAGACCTGGGCTCAGTGTGGTGGGGGTAGAGGATAGGGTTGCTCATGGAGATGTCAGCTCTTCACTTTCTTTCTTTGTCTCTGTCTCTGTCTGTCTCTCTCTCTCTCTCTCTCTCTCTCTGCCTCTCCCCTGGAAGGTTTGGAGAAAATCCGAGGCAGTATATCATGTCATCCTTAAATGCTTCTGTAGAGAAAGATTACAGATAAAGTCTATTTAAAACAAAACCACAATAACCACATTATCATTAGCGTGCCTAAAAATATCAACAGTCAGTCCCTTTAATGCCATTAGACAGCCAGCCAGCCTTCACATGTCCTTACCACGTTATTTCTGCAGCTGGTTTGTTTATTTGTTCTGAGATCTAAATGAAATCCACATGATTGCAGTTGTTTTTTTTTTTAAGGCCTCAGTTAATCTATAGATTCTCTCCCTCTCCCTCTCTCTCTCTCTCTCTGTCTCTCTCATCCCTTTTTCTCCCCCTTTTTCTTGTAATTTATTTAATGAAGAAACTTAGTCATTTGCCCCGTAGAATTTCCCACAGCCTAGATTTTGCTGATTGTGTCCCTGCGGGGGGGTCACACATTCCCCTGAATGCAGTATTTACAGTAAATTGGAATGTAGAGCAGGAGGCGGAGCAGATTAAAAGTTTGAGGATTTTTTTTTTTAAATGTTACTTCCTAGATTGTGGTTTGTATTTCCACGAGAAGGCACAGAGTCTGGTTCTCTCTTATTGTGGTGTCGTGACACTGGTGGCCCTTAGCAGTTCTTGTGTTATCTGTTATTTCAGTAGTGGCTGCAAAATGGAGACTGGCAAATATGACTTCTTCATTAGCTGAAATGCTTTTTTTTTTACATTTTTGTGGTACTGGGGATTGAAGCCAGAATCTGCACACTGAGCTACATCCCCAGCTCCCCTTCCCGCTTTTGGAGACAGGGTCCTGTTACATTGCTAAATTAGCCTGTGATTATAGGCTCAAAGTTGCAATCCTCCTGCCTCCGCCTCTGAGATTGCTGGGATTACAGGTGTGCACCACCACACCCAGTTTGAAATGCCTCTTTGGGGGAAAAAAAAAAAGAATTATTCCCTTTATCAACTTTTTGGCTACCTGAACATTGGGTTCATTGAGGAAAACCATGATAAATGCTCCATTCTTTTCCACTATTTACCAATTTTTTAATATGATGAATTGGTTTCTTGGTACATATCTTCTTCGGTGACAGGTGAATTTGGAGGGAGGTGTCTTTCGGTTTTGTTTGCTTTTGCTAGTATTATGAGGTACGTAAGAATTTTTTTAACCCATCTGATAGAGCAGTTTCAGTTCATTGCCATTGTTTTTCTTAGTGATGTCAAATCAGCCCATCATTGGCCCTCTTCCACTAGGCTCATAAGTCCTTTCCAGCAGGGCCCTGAGAGCCTTGAAGAACTTTCTTGCTTCCTGATATGACAAGGTGTTCTGAGCTGTGTACATTCCCTTCGTGGCCCGGGATCAGCCAGCTCTTCGAGGAGCTCTGGTTTCTTTTGGAAGGAAATGATAGTTAAGCTTGCTGTAACCCCAGCACTCTGGGAAGCTGAGGCAGAAAGACTGCAAGCTTGACGTGAGCCTAGGTGATTTAGCAAGACCCTGCCTCAAATTTGAGTTTGGTATGAAGACCCTGGGTTCAATTTCCAGTACTGCAAGAGAGAGAGAAAAAGACAAGAGAGAGGAAAGCGAAAGGAAGGAGAGGAAAACAAGGAAGAAGAGAAGAAACGGGAGTGCTTGGCATACACTTGGAGCGCTCCTGGCTCCAGGAATCGTTCCTGTTTCGAGACCCTGATAATGGGCGTTTAGGAAAAAATACTTTTTTTTTTTTTTAAAGATAAAACACATTGAAACTTCCCACGCCTTCTCAGGACTACAAGCTTTTGAATAATCTCATTGGGTTTGTCTCTATTCCTTTCTCCATCCTGAAAATCCAGTTCCTACACCAGCAATATAATTACCCACCTACTTCATCCCACAAACACACACCACAGTTTCAGAATAGGAATATGAACATGATAATTACTGAAAATAGTCTCCGATTATCTGCAGTCCTTTCCGTTCTCAGGATCTATCCCAGGAGGGATATACTTCACAGGGCTGTGCTACAGCGTCTTTTGAAATAGCTTCTCTCCGTGTAATTTTGCTACAGCTCGATACCCTGTTAGGTTCATTTGCTTCATTTTGTTTTCAATTTTGTGGGATTGATTTTTTTTAATTTAATTTTGTTTTATAATTATGTAGAATATTTACATGGATCCAAAATCAAGTCCACAAAGCAAATTCCAGATCTTCATGCTCCCCTAGAGGTTGAACTGCTTTTTGATGATTTGGCTTGGCTTTTTCTTTCCATTTCTTTAATATAAGCAGGTATGTGCATATATTTGTATCATCTCCTCCTTAGGTAAATGACAGTGTACATTCCATACTTTCTCCGTCTTGCTCTGTATTATTACTATCATCTGTCATACGGCCTGAAAGTCACTCCACAGTACACTGTATGAAGAGCTCCCTTAGACTTTTCTGTATCCGTATTTACTCCATCATGTGAATGCCAAGAGATAGAGGAGGAAAGAGATACATTTCTCCCTACTCTCGTTTCTTAAGTAGCTAGAAGCCTTGTACGCCATCAACTCCTGGACCCAGCAAGATGGCCAGTATTCTTCCCTTTACTCTCCTGGAGCTCGGAGAAGACAAATGACTTTTCCAGAGTCACACAGTGAGGGACAGGGCTGTGCTCAGGTTCAAGTGCTCTAATGCAGGAAAGTCTTCCTCTCCACACTGACTGTACATTCTGTGTTCTACCTATATGTGCCCCACCAGCAACACTGCTCTCAGTTATAAGGTTCCCTCCCAAGCCTTCAGTCTCTGAGGGGAGCTACCTGACTATGGGACGTGGAGAACCTTATTTCTTAGGTTCCACTTTGTTACCCCAGAGTCAGTATCCTTAAGCTGCCCAGGAGGCTACAGCCCCCCTGCCCCCTTAAGCATCAGGTGTGTAACAGTAGCACCATTGAGTCAATACTGCTGGTCCTCAAAACTACATTTCCATTTTCCTCTGTGTTTCCCATGGGTCATTTTTGTGGACAGGCCCTGAATACAGTTTGAAGGAACCAGTAATGACATTTTTCTTCCTTTATTTTTTAAAATGATAGAAATTGTATTTGTTGTAAGCCCAATAAAATAATATTTACCCAAATTTTACACTTGCTGCGGAACACACCATACAATTAATTCCAACAGCATAATTAATTCAAATTTACATTAATTAAATTAAATTGAAACATTAAGCTTGTTTCTTCATTTACTCCAAAGAAGTTCAGTAACTTAATTGCTATAAAACAAGATAACTGAAATAAAGAGGATATTTAACATACTTATTAAATGCCACTTAGTATTTCTGATTAGTATTTTTAGGGTCTAATTAGTGTCTAATTAACTTGCTATAGGCTATCTTTTCACAATACCAATTAAATTTCAAAACACCCTTTATAAACACACGGCCCTGAAAAGAAGATTAAGCATTGTTACAGGCATGAGTTAATCGGGAGACATTGGTGTGGTATTGTTTTATATCTATAAATACTCATGCTTATTAAAGCCCATCAAGCGTAGCTTTTCACCATTAATTGCTATTTAATCAACTTCAAATAAATGAGGAAATCTCTGAAACCAGCTGGCATCATTGGAGATAGAAGAAGGGCCTTGAAAACAAGAGCAGGAAGTGAGAGGGCAGGAGGAGGAGGAGCAGG